ACCTTTGGTGAGTGCCAATAATTCGCTATAAGCTAGATGAACTTGTCATGAAAAATAATAACGAAAATAACTGATAACTGGTACATGACACATTTGTCATTAAGTGTTACTGAAAATAATACACTTGCCATTATTTCTTATTTATATAAATATCAAGAAGTCAACAGGCAACAGTGGCGCAAATCATCAGAAAAAACTAAAGAAAGAATTTATGGCCAGAACTAGATACTTAATACTGTTTTTAACTTTAAAAAAAATTTTAAACCTAACATTCACTATTTACTTATAATTTTTAACTTTTATATTTTGTGAAACTTCCACGTAATACGCGACCAAAAATATAAACTTAGCTTCCAGTAGAAGTTCACTTTTTGAAAATCCACTTAGTTTCATTTCCAAATACTTACCTATAAATTAATTGATAAAAGTAATACAAATGACTTAAGCGTGAAACTTTTATTTTTCACTTTTTAGCGAAATACCTTTTATAGGCAAGAAAATTTGGCAGGTAATAAAATGAGAACCTGTTGAAAAAAATACAAGGTAACCATTACTATTTATTATTTCAGATGGCGTTAAAATTCTGTGTAAGTAATTCACAAAAATTATCAAATGACTTAACTATTATGAATTGAATTAAATTTTTTTCTTTCTCTTCTCTTTCTTCCTCTCTTATACTATAACTCTTTCTATCACCAAAAAGGTTCTTATTACCGTTCATCCTCTTGCCACCAACTAACAATATTTTTTATATGTACCTGTTATAAATAATAGTGTAGTGTAGTTATATAGGGTATATGTATTGTGTATTATGAACCATTATTCTTATTTCTCTTTTTTCTCTTTTTATTTCTTATACAATGGGCATTAAACTTTTCATTTCATCTCATTCATTTCCATTGTCAATGTAAATGAAATTTTTTATTTTATATTTTACGTACGTGTGCTTATGTACAATTTACAACCTTATAATTTAAAAATGAATGAATTAATAATTTTCATTTTAATGTCAATGTATTGGTGTAAGTGTAAGAATCTAATTGATGATTGTACGAGTATTCCAACGTTCATAATGATGTTGATGAATAATTCGAAAATGCAAAAGAAAGGGTACAACAAAGAATCTCGTTTAATTGAATGTCTGGTTTTGCTTTATTTTTTTTTGTGTTTAAACAATAGACAATGGAGTTAATAAAATAGTAGTTAAAAATATTCAGGTAAGTACAAATAAACATGTAATAAAAGTCAGAATTAGAAAGCAGCTTAATTGTATTTAATAAAAAGTGTTTTCAAACGCATTTCTATTTGAACTTTTTTAAGCTTAACTTGTTTTTTTTTCTGAATAAGCACAAAGGGTTTCAGTTTAGTTTTAAAATTATTAAAACTTTTGCTTTTTTCACTGGATAATTTTGTACAACTATATAAAATATTTTTTTGTTGAAGCGTTAAAAGAATTAATACCGAAAAAAATGCGTTTTTCAATTAATTATGAAAACACTTGATGTAAAATATGATTTTTTTTTATTTCATTGTTGGTTATTAAAGAGTGTAAGTCACATACAAAATAAGTAAAATGTTTAAAAAAAAAAATTAATTACAGCAAAAAAGAAAATTCATTTGTATGGCATTTTGGTTTTAATGAAACTTGGGAAAAAAATCAGCTAGACTTTTTATAGTAACAATAAATAATAAGTTTTCTTATATAAGTACAAGCAAATGACTGCAATTTTACTAAAAATAATTTAAAATTTTTTTTAAATGTTAATATGTGAGAGAAATTGCCAAGAAACTAAATGTAAGAAAATAAATGAGGTTAATGAAAGTCACGTGTTTAAAGAGTTTTACACACATTAAAATATTTGCAGAAAATATTTAAAAAAAATTATACTTATTATATACACAGATAAGAATGTATATAAAAATTTTATAATTATTATGCTTGGGACAATATCACAGCAAATATTACTAAAGTAAAGAAAATTCGTTTTCCTTATTTAAAGTACAAACTTGTATTGTATATTTTTTGATGAATGAAAAAGAATCTTACAATTATCTAAGTATGAAAGTATTAATTCTCGACGAAAATAGTCTTTTTCTCTATTTATTTTCCTACTTTATAGTAAGTAATTAATTAATAATTTATTTATTATTAAAATTAAATTTTAATTTTTTTAATGTCTTCAAGCTTTATAAACAAAACTCTCTTATTTATAATTGCATTTCTATTTAAAATTTTTTACTGCATATTAAACGGACAAAAAAAAATACAGTACCATACAATTATGTTGTTCTATAAAAACGTAAAAAAAGTATTACTTAAGGTCTGCTAAAAACCCCTTTAATATTATATTAATAGAAGTGTTATAAGTAGTATTCCATAATTAGCATATCCTTTCCGGCAGTAGATTTTAACAATTGAATTTGATTGAAATTTGAAACTTGAAGAGAAAAGTGTTTTAGTTAGGTAAACAAAATTGTGATTCGATATATAAATGGAAAAAGATCTAGAAATAAACAAACAAGAAATATTGCACATTGTTAAACTGTGGTTTTTATCTATAACTATAAGGGAAATGGTTTCCTATATTTTCCATTTAATAAAAGATAATAATTAAAATAAACAAATTTTTATTAAGTAAGTATAGTTCGCAATATTCTCTATTTTATAGGTATGTTATAAAATTTAATATCTAAATAATAATTAAGTCAATACAAAAGTAAATTTTACATAAATATTTTTCTTTCTTAAATAATATTTTTCAACAACATACAAGCAATTCTCTTTCATTAACGCTTGACTAAAAATTATATCTACAATAAAGTTCACCACCGTAGATATCTAAAATGCTTCCTGTGCGTAAATTTAAATTCATAAATAAAATGCAAACAAAGCCTATTTCTTAGGGAAGCTTAGCTGATTTATGGTGGAGTAAAATGTAAGGTAATTTTATTCGTAATAACTTCAATGATTTCATAAAAAAATTCATTCATTTACTTATTTCTTTTAATTAGATTTTCATAAAATGCATTTAATTTTACTATTTTCAACTTTAATATAACTATGACTATAATAATTTTAAAAATATATCACATGTTCGACTAATAGAAATGAAAATCATTAATTTTTTTTTTTTTTTCAAAACTTCCATTTCAAAAATATTTCGTGTTCAAGTAAAATAAGGAAATATTAACGCTATACACAACATAAATTTGCTTTATGATTTTCAATTAAAATTACCAGCCCGCTTGCCAATAATTTTAAGCAACAATTAACTTACTTAATTGAAGAGATTGTGGTGTACGTATTATATATACACATATAAATGTACAGTAATATTTTTCACTGTTGAAAATATTTTTCACTGCCTGTTAATTACATTCATAAATAATAACTACCATAGTTATTATTATTATTATTATTAATATTTTCTCTTATATATATATAATATATTTAACAACATTACGAGAAAAAAAAACATTTCTATAATCAGTTAAAAAAAATCATTTTGCGGTCGTAAATATTTGTTCAAGAATCTTATACATAACATACATGCATACTTATATAGAAATAAGAATAAAAATGGTAGTGTAATATAGTGAAAAAAAAATCTAATTCTTCACAGAACAGTAAATTTCTTTGATTAATATAAGGAATTCATTTAAAAACCATGATATTTAAGCATTAAGAAACTTATTTAGTACAAGAAAAAAAAAAAACTATAAAATCTTTTTTAAGTCTTTTGTTTGAAAAAGATTTGTTTTTTTTTTTTTTAACTTTAAGCAAACGAGTGATTTATTAAGTTCTCAAGGGTTAGAAGAATTTTCTGTATACTTACAATAACTTTTTTGTGATTCTTTATTAGCTTCGTTTCTCATTGTGAATGTATACATTTCGTATATAATAGTTTATGTATAATTTTCTACTGTTATAAATGCATTCGGATTTTAAAGTTATTTGTTTTAATTTAAACATGTTAGAAAAATGCATTTATTTTACTGGAAAATTTTTTAAATATAACCACAATATAAAACTTAAGTGAAATATTAATTCTGTAGAAACTATAAATCTCATATAATTTCAATTATTTGAATTCGATTTTTGTGAAAAACCGTAGTCCCTCACTGAAAACAAAAAACATAAAAAATCGTATAAAAATTATTTATTTATTTGATATCTTTTATAGAAATGTTGGCATTTTATATAGAAACCGTTTGTAACCGGCTATATTCTTGAAATTTTTGAGAGGCGAGGCAACTTGTTCGGATAATTGTAAATATTCAGATGAAAGCACACTAATATTTTAAAATTTCAAGTAAATTATTAAATGTTGAGTATACGTATACATAATTGCAAGAATCCACATACTTAACATGTTAATGAGCTTAATTTGAAAGCGTTATTGTACAAGAACGTCACATTTTTTAGCTACTTTTTCTATGGGAGACCTGTCATGTCATTTATCCATAATAATGCTTTTCTGCTTAAGCTTTATAAAAAAATATAATTGAAAATTGAAGGTGACAAAAATGAAAATGTTAAAACAGGAAAAATCAAAGACAAAAGAGAAAAGAGGAACACAAAACCTAAGAAAAAAAAATTCGCTTCTGTCTCTCTCTCAGAAAGAATTCTTATGTTAGAAACGTGAAATTTGAAATTCAATGAAAAATTTACACGTAATTTAAGTGATCAAACATCTTTCTTAAAGATCTAATTAATTGTTATAATTGTTACGTAATTGTTGTTCTATAGGTTGCCCCTTCAAAAAAATATTAATTTGTCTTTTAAATATTTCACTCATTGCATAAAAGCTTTAGTCAAAGAAGAAGAGCATTAAAGTTCAGGCATTATTGTTGACAATACGAGGCATCAGAAATGAAATCAGAGTCTTCCATAGACAGGTTTAACTAATGCTATTTTATTATTTGATAGTTTTATATTAGAAAGAACAAAAAAATAATTAAAAATTTTTTAAAAAACAACAAAATCTTAGTTTACTTACTTAAATGTCCATTTAATGGAGCACCGACACATTCTGGATGCTGATGATGTGATGAGAGACCATTTTGCCTAAAAAAAACTGGTGGCATCATATCCAAATTTTATTTATGTTTCACGTTGCACCCAAAAATCTGCTTTATACGTATTTTTTTTAAATAATTTTTTAAATGTATAAATTTAAATTTTTTTTGTTTTATTTCTTATTAAGCACTTTTCTAAGAGCACTAAAAAATTTTCTTTTTTTATAAGCACTTACTTATTTTGATTTACATTGAATCATTTTTCTTTTTCACTTTTTTCAAAATATTGATTTAGGATCACCATTCGTTTAAGAGCGCCATTTTAAAATCAATAATTGGTAGTTATTTTTGCGTTTTTCTAAGATATTAAATGAAGAGATTAACGGAACTTTTATTCTAATTATGTGTACAGCTATATTTATTCAAAATCACCGAAAAAAAAATAGAACCAAAGTATTTTTTTTGTTAATTTTTGCTTTGTTTTGTTTATTTTCTGTTTGAGAAAATAAAAAATGGGTTGAAAATTATGCCGTTAATTTATTAACATTAACGGTATTTTATAACAGCTATAATTTCTCGTTAATTTTCTAAGATTTTTATTAATTTTTTTTTTTGTTTCAATTTTCCATGAATGAATTTTTTTTGTATTTTGTTTTATTTAATTTTGTTAAAAATTCACATTTGTATTTTATTTATTTATTTTAAATTTTCTTTGTTTTTTCATATTTTTTATGGTCACATTTCTGTTCTTTTTTTTCTTGCTCTTTTTTATTTTTTTTCATATTATATTAAGAAAAATTTGTTAAACTTATTATGTTTCATTAGCGATTTTCTTCACACCTGAAAGAATTTTCAATTATCACCTTAAAGATAAATTTAAATCACAAATATTCGAAAATGAATGAAAGAAAAAACAAATTTTATATTTTATTTTTTGTTTTGTGAAATTGAAGAACATGTGAATTTTCCTTTACGCGTTTCTAGGGTGTGTGGAAAAATTAAGAATTCTAGTATAGAGAATATTAAAATATTTTCATTGCTTAGAAATGTAAAATAAATACAATCTTGTTTATTAACAAAATTTTCGGTGCTAATACATACAAGTATATATATAGAAAAAATGCTGTAATATTTTAAATTTTATTCAATCGTTAGCCGAGTCTTACAGTCTGAAATGCAAAGTTAACGTTAGTTAAATTCATAAAGTTAAATATGCAAATTATATAAGGAAGTGTAATACAAGAAAATAATAACTGTATAAATGAATGATTACTTCAATGTTAAAGCTGAAAGTAAAGAGTATAATAACATTGGTCCCAACCAGATAAATAATTTTAAAGATCCCCGTGTATGCATTCCTAATGAAGGAATAACTATTACCTCATATCACTAAAATAATCAAGGATAGGATGATGTTCAAAAGACGTAGTTATTATATACATAATTACAAAATGTTATCTACAGTTAATGCTTTTAGTAATACTTTTTTTTAATTTGATCGAAAAGCTATGAATGTAGAACAAGAATTACGGTTCATTCATCCCCCCCTTACGTAGACAAATTCTTCCAATGGACGTATCTATTCATTTACTTCAATTTTGAATTTAGTCTTAAGTATGAACATTAATTTTAACCTGAATGTAAATTGGTTAACCTAATCTTTAAGCTATACATAAATGTTTTAGTGTTTTAGAATTATTCTTGGCTGCAATTTCATAACATTTTTTATTTTCTATACCTTTTTATAAAAAATAAAAGTTTATTTAGATCGCGTTAATTTGTTTTGTTTCCTGATAATTAAGTAGATTACATTTTGTTTTTTCAGTCACTTTTAAGTATACAAAGATGTAAATTAAATAAAAAAAATCTGATGGAACAGCACATAACCGGTCATAACAAAGATTTCGTAGTTAATTGAATTTGTTACAGAAGATTGTGAAAATGCATTTTGAAGCCTTTCTTTTATTTTTAAGGAAGTTAGTAAACTTTAAGCTAACATACCTAGAGAAGTGTATATTTAGCTCTTAGCAGAATTTCACTTTGTGCCACCCGAATCCCCGGAAAAGTTCACCAGTTAATTTTGGTAAAAGCCAGAGCTCAAACAACAAATTTCAAGAAATTCCATCAACCTCTTCCCTAGATATTGTAAAAAAAATATAAGATCAGCCCCCAATTTGGTCTGATCCATTAGGGTCCGATCCCTGATCTTTCGAAAAAATTTATAGATTAAATAAGATTTTAATATTAAATTTCAAGGAAATTGGTTGGTTATTTCTGTTTATATGCGGAAAAATGTAAAATTGGGTCGCAAAAATATCCAGTTCCAGCAGTCTGATATTCCAAAAGTTGATCAATCCATAGTCGAAATAAGCTCATATATAAAATTTCATTAAAATAGGTTCAGTCGAATTTGAGATACACGCGGACCGACATCTCTCTATAAAAGTAGTTTATTTATGCTTCCTTACTATGGAAAGGTTCGCGATCCCAGCGAAAACTCCACATCCAAAATTTGGTGCCATCACACCATTTACTTCATTGTATACAATGCGGTCGGTAAAAAATAATCGAAGTAATAGAAAAATTAAAGAAAATGCACTGCGATGGTTCAGTGATATTTTTACATTGAAAATTACAAAAAAAATAAAAATTATTAAGGAAGTTTTGTTTAATTAATAAATACTTAGTTATGGCTAATTAATTGCAAATACAAACGCACATTTCACGAAGCATTTTAATAAAGAAATTCTAATTCGTATTATTATAGGATTATATAAATTTGACGAGTGCAGTAAAAATTTACGAATTACTAAAGGTTAAATAATTCAAAAACTTATTAATTCTCAATTTGCGTGTGCAAAAAATTTGAATCTTTTATTAAATGCTTGCAACTATTTATTTAATCTTTTAATTACTTATTTATTTATTGCACATTATTTCGGTTTTCCGGTGCAAAAATTTATTTAATATTCAATTAACGTATAAGTTATTATCATGTAAAAAATGAAAATAAATAAAGCGATTAGAAACTTCTTATGATCATTTACAATGTAGTGCAATAGTGAATATAAAAATGAATATAAAAAAGTCTTAAAAACATTAAACTATGGCAAAAATTATATAACTAAATCTCATACTAATAAACTTTAACCCTATCTAACTCTCCACCATTTCACTTCCACTTCCGTCCTGATTATTTTGCTGTGCAATCTGATAGCCGCATTTTTGCGCGTATAAATGATGATTGTTTTAGCTCTTTCGCGCCGTATTATTATGCATGATATTTTGATGCTTGGCCTGATACTTTGTATGATTTGCATGATACTTTGATGCTTGGCCTAAGTAGGTCGTCTGATTAATATCCGATTCTTTCGAGTATGTATAATATTCGGTTGCCTCATTTTTTATTTTAAGTGCAGTAGTACGAGTAACAATTTTCAGTTATAACAACTGTTTTCTAAACTAATTTTCTAATTCACGATTATTCTAGAATTTATGAACGAATAATATAGGAATTCATTGAAAAGTAAAGTCTAAAAATTTCTAGTGAAAATTTTTTGTGTACACACTTAGATATCTCAAATAAAACTAATCCAAACTAAAATATTCATATTCAAAATATTTTAATTTGAAATGTTATAATAACTTTGAATCAAATATTTTGAATAATTTTATAAAATGTATGCATACTTAATCAAATATTTTATAACATTTTATATAACAAAATAATATGCGCATATTTTTAATCATATAAATTCAAAATTAATATACATACTGGAAAACTAAAGATAAACACATAAATAAAATTCTTAATGATGATTATTTGGACCACATTCGAATTTTATACTTGGAAATGATAATAAATTTCAAAGGAAACCAAAAAACACTTCATTATTTCAATAGTTTATTTCAACATTTCTCAAATAATAACTAACTAACTAACTTTTATTACTATTTGAATGAAATCATTTCATCTTTTACTCTTTATTTTAATATTCTTTTAACTTATTGATAACCAACGAGGTGGTCTTTTTACGCTATACCTATATTTTACTTTAAATCAGTTTGTTTTATAGAATATGTATGAATGCATGTATCTGAAGGTATTTGTCTTTTTTGCCTTAAAATTTAAAAAGCGCTTCTGTAAAGGAGTTGTTGATGATATTTACCTGGACTCTGGTATTACATCGTCTGTAGGCTATATAATAAAACAAAAAGTAAAAAAAAAAATATTTAACAAAAGAATTTAAAATCTAAAACATCACAATTTCTCAGTTTTCATTTTCTACTTCACAACTTGCCCAACAGCAAACCTAACAAGTTCAAATTAGTATTGCACAATGTTTTCAATCTTTCTGTTTTTTTTTGTTTCATATAGCTGATAAAACTGCATAAAGGTGGTGTCCATAAACATATTGTGATGAATTTATAGACATCCAACAAATAATTTCATCACTTTTGTGAAAACTTGTTCTCGTGCTTTAGTTTTCGCTGTTTTTTTTTTTTTTTTTGATTTCTTGATCAAGTAAAACTGATTATTACCACAGGTGATGTTTTACAATGTTAACACACGATATAACTTAAATTAAAACACGGTATATATATATATGTATACAAGAAAATCAGTGAATAAAATTGCAAATGAAAATAATTTAAACTAAAACAAAGTTACTTACTATGCTTACTTATAGAAAAGAATCATGAAAAATGTAAATTAGCTTTCATATTTGTAATTCTGTGATTAAGGCATTAAATTTTTTATTCGACTTCCTTCTTCAAAGTTTTGAAGTATTGTTTGCAATCAGATTTAGAGATTAGTATAACATTGGGATCCTAACAAGTTATCCTTATACCTTTGTTATAATCCGCGAAACGAATGGACTAGGCGAATCGAATGACATTTTAAATTATGATCAGCGAATGATTCGCCAGATCCAAAATGTTGCTACCGCAAGACATCAAAAAACCTACCGAAAATAATGAGATTGTATATTGTTTTTGTTTTTTTGAAAAAAAAAAAAAACAATTGAAGTTTGCTATCTCTTTAGCAATGTCGGGGTTATTCTCCATTAATTTAATTAATGCTCGAATTGTTTTTGGTTAGTTCTTTTACGCTTAAATTAATATTTAACAATAAATATTTTTTACAATAATTGGTAGAATTTTATGAACTTACTTTTCAGAAAGTTTATATCTTTCCTTTATATCAGTATAAATATTATAATATCAAATAAAATAAAGTTGGGTCAAACCAATGGTTTGTATTGTAGCACTTTTCCCTTCAACAAGTGAAAATACTGCTTTTAAAAATAGTCTATGTATATCCACCACACTATTAAAATTTATTTTCATTTATAAACGAAACTATTTCTAGGATTGCATATATTTAGGATGAACCATTTATGCAGTCTTTAAAATAAAGCAAAAATTAATATAAACAGGGGTTAACATAATGCTCGATTTTAAGGGTTAATTGTGTGAGTTAAGAAAAATAATTATATTTTTTAGTGTCATGGAATTTACCGTTAACTTTTTGCGTTTATAGAAATTTGAAAAAGCTTGCGGTTTCAAAAATATAAGGTGTCAAAAATGCAAATTTTACAAATTTCAAGAGGCCATAACTTGAGAGGGGGTGGAGATAGAAAAAAATTTTCTTCTAACGAAATGAACTACTTGTTAATGTCTAAAAGCTCTTAAAATTTCAAGCTTCTACAGGCTGGGGTCTAGAAGAAAAACGACATCAAAAATTTGGAAAAAAAGGACTGCAGATAACGGTAAATTTGAACGGCCATTTTGTTTTTCTAAAGTTTAGCTATAGTATACCGCGGTAGGGGAAGCAA